AAGAACTGAAAAAAAATTAAAAAAGCAGATTCAAAAACCCCAAGGGCAGTGTCTTCCTTCATGTCCAAAAGACACCTTTAATGCAAAAAATCGGAACTGCAACAGCCCAATCTAAGCCAGGACCAGCAACACCTCCCTCAGACGGGAAGCCCAAAAGCCATGGAACTGTTTTAACTGGGGTGAGGATGGCATATGTCTTCCCAATGCGAACAAAGCAAACCCAACCCCTTGGGGAAACAAAAGAGAAGCAGCTTCGTCAGAAACAAAAAGTGTGGGATGGGAAAAAGTAAGTCGCAGTTAAACTAAATGCGTTCCTGTGAGGGGACACCCAGGAGCGCTACCATCCTGTCCCAAACCCTTTTCTGAATCCAATTTTGTATTCCCTAGGGTTTTCATCTGTACAAGAGCAGGGCCAAATCCAAATAAAGGGAACCAACTTCAGTCCCTCCTTGACTTGGGTCCAATCACTAAGTCCCCCATTAAATTTTATAATCCCACCTCTTTGCCCATAAAATAATGTCTTTGAAAAAATCTGTTGGAAGTTGAGGGCGCCAATGGCCAGAATTACCTTTTCCCTTGGGTACATTGAATTAAAATTTTATTTTCCCCACCTGAATTTCTTGGCTCCCCAAAATTGAAGTGGACCCCAGCCTTGGTAGTCCCAAACACCAAAACCACACATCCATTTTACTGTAGGCACAATACATGGACATTGCCTACAAAAAGCACTTGAGACCCAAATCTAACTTTTAAACCCACTCTTTTGGGTTAATGTTTTGAAGACCTGCAGAACAGGTAGTTCAAAAACTCACCCGACACCCTTTTTTTTACTTGGGGCCTGTCACCCCAAACCCCCCTATTATTGGCCCAAACTGTTTTCCTTGAGGGAGTTTGACCACCGGGTGTTGGGAAAGAAAGTGGTTTTTGTTGAACACCCAAACCCCTTTCTGCCCTTGGGGGACTTATGGTTAAAGCCTGTCTCAAAACATACCCCCAACTCGGCCCTTTTTACCCGCCAGTGGGGGTAACAATGAGCAGATCTCCAAAATCTCCCCACGAGAGCAGAAATTGCCGAGATTGCCCCCTTTTAGAGTCGTTATCTCAAAAGAGCAAAGTGTCAAAATCCATGACAAGCCCCCAGAGTCTTTAAAAAACCTCACTTCAATACAATTTTGGAGAATCACCTCTAACACCAAATGGAAAAATCGGTCATTTCAAAGCTCAACAGATAAGAGGTCCTTTTGCCAAACATGACCTTTTTTTTTGGTTGTAAGAAAAAAGGGGAAAAAAAAACAAAAAAAAAATTGTTGACCCTGCACCATTCAAACAAGACCACGCCTTACATCCACGGATTTTGATGCTGTGAAAAACATCTTCAAGAACTGTTTAGTCGGGAATAAAACCTGAAAACGAATCTCCCTTTGCTTCACCTATTGTGGGGGTGGTAAGAAAAAAAGGCTCTGTGCGCCCCCGTATTTATTTTCGGAAACTTAACCCACAAACCATTTAAAGATGTTTTCCCTTCCGAACTAGAAGAGTTCACCGCCTGGGAGCTCGAAAAAGGTTTTCTTGTTGGGGGACCTAAAATCTGGGTATTACCAGATAGAAAAGGAAGAAGTGACAAGCACCAAAAACAGCTTTTGTTTGTCCTTTAGGCTTTGGGAAATTTAAAGTATGCCCAAGGAGGACCCAAAGCCCAAAACTTTTCAAGACCAAAGGAAAAATGCATGGGTGAGTCCATCTGAAAGAAGTTTTTGGGTTTTTTTGATGATTTGAAACATTTTTCACCAACTCTTAAGAACATGAAGAAAGATTTTTAAAAATCCAAAAATTAAAGGACTTTGGACAAAAATGTCCATTGAAAAATGGGTGTTCTTTCAAAATTCAGTGAAGTATCTTGGCCATGTTGTGTCCAAGGATGGGTGGAGACAGACCCCAAAAAATTTTCCACCCTTGCATCTTGGCCATGCCCAAAAAACCCGGGAACTTTCGATCGTTTTTGGATTTGCGGGTTTATCGGCGATTTCTGAAGGACTATTTGCAATTTTTTTAAAAATTTGCATGACCTTCTGCTGGCTATCCACCTACCAAAAAAACTAAAACCCACGTTTAAAGCCCAGAATATTTCAACCCAAAAAAGCCTTTTGCTGAAAGTTGGACTGAAACCGTCGCATGCATTTAACACCATTATTGAAAAACTCACTACTTCCCTGTACTTATATTTGCAGATTTTCGAAGCCCAAAACTCCCCATACTGATGCCAGTTTTCAGGCCTTGGAGCATGCTTATCAAGAAAATAATGGCAAAAAAACGGTTTGTCTTATCAAATTTGAGGTTGTCCAGAAGTGAAATCAAATACCCCGCACTAAATTGAATTTTGGCACTTTAAAAAGGGGGGTTTACTAGAAATTTAATGACTACCCTATAAGGCACACAATTCACGTGGGCACAGAAAACAATCGTTGACCCCCCCTTTGACATCAGCTAAGCTTTTCGCTACAAGTATAGATGGTTTCTGCTTGTCCACATTTACCTTTAAGATTGTTTACGAGCAGGAAAACAGAATGCAGATCTGATGGGCTGTCCGCAACCCCATCCTGAGATGCCTGATGACCCCTTAAATCCTGCAAAAAAAAGGGAGAGGGGTGTTTTGGTTCGTTCAAATCATTCGGGGAAAAACCCGGTTGCACCCCCTTGACCACACATTGTTTAAGCCCTCTGTGACCCCCCCCTGGGGTGTCCGCTCAGCAAGACCATGCCCTTGTTCTCTTTTGTCTGTCATGTGGGGAAAGCCCCTGGGCTTTTCACAAAGATGCCCAATTTTCCATGTGTTCTGCCCCCGGTTCTCTAATGCTTCTTGCTGCCAAACAGCGGTGATCCTATCAACCAATATGTGATTTCTCAGCTTTGGGGAGGGGGAAATTCCCACCGATCGTGAGGGGTGAACTTCCAACGCCCCCCTCTGAGGAAATAAATAAAATGGAGCTCCCTAACAACCCCTTTTCAGGGGCGGGGAAGTGGGGGCAGTGTTACCTATCAGCTAGTGTTACCAGAGGAGTGTCGGGATATGTGATGGTTTTAGCTTCTGATCATATGGGCCCCTTGGGATCGAGAGGAATTAGACTTTATTCTTCCGGTTCTTTTGGGCCCCGAAAGTCCACTGATGTTTTTCAACAAAAAAAAAAACCTTGAACGTGGTAAAAAAAAAAACCTTACCAGAACGGGCGCACCTCTCGTTAACTCAAAACTTCAAGACCTCTAGACAGTGTGCATGGGGCTTCCCCGTCTTGGGCCAGATGCAAAGGAAAGTATTCTTTTGATTACAGATCACTTCACAAAATATGCTGTTGCTGTTCCAACACCAAATCAGAAAGCTCGAACTATTGCTAAATGCTTGTGGGAAATTTTTTTTGTCCACTATGGCATTCCAGAAAGGTTACACAGTGACCAAGGACCAGATTTTGAGTCCCGTACCATCAAGGAACTGTGTGATATTGCTGGCATCCATAAAGGAAGGACAACTCCTTATCACCCCAGAGGTAACCCTGTGGAAAGATTCAATCGCACATTGCTTAGCATGCTAGGGACATTAAGTGAGCAGAATAAATCTCGATGGAAAGATTTTGTAAAACCCCTTGTTCATGCATACAACTGCACTAAAAATGATGTCACTGGGTTTTCTCCATACGAACTAATGTTTGGTCGCCAACCTCGTCTTCCCATAGATGTGGCTTTTGGGTTACCACTGGAAGAGGACACTTCCACATCCCACCTGCAGTATGTCCAAAGACTGAAAACGCATCTGCAAGACAGCCATCAGTTGGCTGCGGAAAACTCAGAGAAGGTGATGTCCCGTAATAAGACCTCTTTTGATCGGCATATCACCATTTCCGAACTTGCCGTAGGCGACAGGGTCCTTGTTAGAAACGTCCGACTGAGAGGAAAGCACAAATTGGCTGACAGATGGGAACCTGACATATATGTAGTGGTAAAGAGGGCTGGCAACCTCCCTGTTTACACTGTAAAACCAGAGAACCAGGATAAACCTCTCAGAACACTCCATCGTGACCTTTTGTTGCCCTGTAATTTCCTGGCTGAACAGAGCCCTGTAAAAAACTTACCTGTGAGGAGGAAAAAGCACCTGCCTGTGAACTTACCTGACCCTAACAATGAAGATTCATCAGAAGATGAGATCATCTCACCTCTGAACGATCCTTCTTCCTTCGAGCCTGTGAAATTCATCACTGTTGTTAATTCACCAGTACCTCCTGTCCAGCAACCTGTTCCACCTGCAGACCTACCTGAAGTTCCTGATCAGCCCCCATCCTCTGCTGCAGAAGAGGATTTGGAACAGGAGCTCCTAGTCGTCACAGAGGAACCAGGGGAATTTCAACCTGTGGACAGAGAGGCGGTAAACATCAGTTCGGAAACTGATTCTTCAGGAGATCCTGCCGCTGAGGGAGGTCCTGTTCCTGAACCTGTTACTCCAGAGCCCTCCACCAATAATATGGAACCAAAAGCGGACTTAATTGTTCAAACAGAATCAAGTCCCGAAACAGAACCGTCAAGCTCCGTAACAGAACCATCGAGTCCTGAAGCAGAACCATCTTTGCGGAGGTCAACCCGAGCAAGAAGACCACCGTAACGTTTACAGTACTCACAACTCGGTCACCCGCTGTTGAAGAGTATCCAGTTGTTGTTTCATGGACTGACTACTGCATTTACACATGCTCTTGAAGGGACTGAGGCAGTTGAACACATGACTGTTCCTGGTATTATCCAGCCAGTCATCCATGCTCAACCTGGTCCATGTACGGGGACGTGCATGGGATCAGGGGGGGAACATGTAACCCACGTTACCACCATGGCCCACCCACCTGCCCTTTAAGCCGTCCCTTTAAATTCTGGTACCCTCATGTGTATTTCCGGGATTTCCCACGGTGCTGCTGCTCACTGTTGGTTGTGGCGTCTGTTGTTAATAAAACAATCAGAATCTCCAGCTCAACTCATCACTATACAAAACACTAGAACTTGAGGATCTGCGGTGAGTTTTTAAGTACCAACCGAACTTGATGATTTACCTGCAATACTAGCGTCGCTAATATACCCGCTGCAATTCTCACCAGGCTGGGCTTTGTTGACGCCTGGTACACCATTCTGATGAGAACAAGTTGACGTTATATCCACCTTCTCAGACAATCTGTTACTCGACGGTGAGTAAATATTCATTCACATATAATATGGGGCGTTATTTCCGCCGCCAGTTAGCATTAGCTACCCACTCGACAATCAGTTGCTACATCAGTTCAGTCCACTTACTAATTACTTACTTAATAAAAAGTCATACTGTTAAAGCCGAATTAAAGGCCACACCTTTAATATTTAAAGGCTTGCTTTTTCAACTTTAGATTTGATTGTTTTCCATGATTTCTTTGGTTATTGTTGTATTTCATGCTGGTGCATCAATGAAGTCTGGTACCTAATATGATTTTGTTTGTAGCTACTTTGATCAATCACATTCTTAAAGTTGATTGGTTTGATTTATTATTAGTTGTTGTAACGACTGCTAATTACTTTGAGAAATTGAGAACTTGAATTTTGAAGTGCACTTTTCCTTTTAAAAGGACTTTTCTTTTTATTACCCCTTCTCATTTTTATAAAATGGGAAGTGGTAGTCAATACATAGCAGTATGTATTTGTTTTGTTTTTTTTCCCCATTTAGCTTATATAAATATAACATTTATATATGAACCTAATGTATGTTTTTCTGGCCTTTTAGGTCAGGTTTTTTTTTTTCCCCCTTCATCGACTTGCTTGATGACGGAGGATGGCGAGCTACCCACACACCATCTGGTGGTAGGAAAAAAGACACTTTTCACACAGGAAAACCACACGACACTTTTCACGCAGGAAAACCAAACAATACTTTCCATAATGGAAACAAAATAAGCTCTAAGGGAGTATTCAAAGGAAAAGAACAATTCTCCCGTTGCTCTTGGACCTTCTTTTGAACTACATTTGTTTTGTGAAGTATTATTGAGTATTATTTATTTATTGGGGCGTTTTTTCCCCCTCTTCTTGGTTCTTTTGAACAATTTATTTTTTGTTTCGTTTTTGCTGTTATTGTTATTATTTTTATTATTATTATTATTATTATTATTATTATTATTATTATTATTACTATTATTATTATTATTAATATTATTATTATTTTTACTGCAATAAATGGTCATGTAAACGAAGCTTTTGCATTGGTTGCCTCAATTATCCACCCAATCATGACTCCATGCCGTTCCTACTTCTAATTCGATGTGGTTAACATTAAACCTTGCAGTCAGACCTGCGCATTTAATAAGAGCGTTACACTATGTAAAGGTGCTTTGGGGGGCGGGGGGTGGGGGGGGGGGGGGCTGAATTAACAGTCAGTGATGCAAAGGATGCACTTGAAGCAATATTTGGAGTTGCATTTAGAAATTTAGAATGTTTAATAAAAGTTAAGGTTAGTATTGATAAGCTAATGAAACCCCAGAAAATTACAATATCATATAAACCTAAAAAATAAGTGTTTTTAAAGAAATTTCATGCTTCTAAAATGTAAAATTAAGCCAAAAAAAATTACACATTTCATCATCATGATCTTGAAGTATTTTCCAATTTCTTTGATTTCATAATTACCTGTACAGTATTTCGCTGGTTATATTCTCTGATAGTTTCCATTTTAGTTAATTTGATTATTAGCTATTTTTTAATAGCAAATAGTAATTGTCATGTTCTTGTACATTTTCTTGTGATTGCTTGAATTTTGCTGTGCTTCTTTTGCTTTTTTCTAATACAACAAACTATAGCTCCTACATACTTTTCCCAGCTGCTATGCCTTAGCCTTTTGTGGGGTCAATAGTAAGAACATTATACAGGGTAAGAAAGGAACACTGGACAACTTTGGCCTTATGAATGTCATTACACAGTGGACATGCACATAGATGATGCTTGTTAAATTGGGATTACAGCTCTAACTACAAAATAATTATACAAATGTAGCAATTAAGCTCCCAATTATAAAACCCAAAACATATGAATGGTACATGGCCGGTTATTTTTTTATGCTTTATCAAGTCAGAAGACTTGACCAAAACACTACACTCTGTCATTCCAACATTCACGCACACACTCACACACTGATGGTAGCAAGCTACATTGTAACCGCAGCTTCCCTGGGGCCTGTGTCTCTCCTATTGACAGGATTGCAGCCCAGTAGCTGACCTGATTACTCACTTCATTCACCTGCCGTTCCCTCCCTGCTCTCTAATTATAATTCATCTTATTCACCTGTTCCCTGTGCTATATATACAGTTCAGCCCAGCTATCAAGGCCAGATCATTATTCTTAGTTTATTTGAAGTTTTCATGTAGCTGTTCATGTTTGAGAGGGTGTTAGTGTTTGTCTCCTGTCCACAGATCGTGTCCCGGCTCTTCTCTGCTTAGCCCTCTGGTTTTGGCTCCAAGTGCAGAGGAGGCTAGTTTTAATTCCTGTATATCTGTATATATAACTGTATAAGTAAAGTTTAAAGTTCTGCAGTTATCCTCGTACCATGTCTTTTTGCTGTTCCTCTCAACCACTGAACCCGCCTGACACCATCTGAGCGTGTCTGTCTGAGCTCTATGCTGGACTCCTAGAACTCTGAACCTGCCTGAACGCTCTGTGGATTCTTGGAACCCTGGATCTGTCAGTTCTTGTTTGGATTGGAACTCCTGGATCTCAGAACAGTCCTGTTCTGAACTGTTTCTCTGACCTGTATCGGTCTTATGCCTGCTCACTAGGGTTGCTGCATCAGGTACATCTGGATGGCTCAGTCTTGCATCTTATTGGCAGAGCATAGGCTGATCCTGTCTTTGATGAGAGGATGGACTGAACTGTTTAACCAGTTAAGTGACTCATACAGATAATCATCTCCCGTCAGATGATTGTGCTCACTTACCTGTGTTTTTCCCTTCTGTAATTGGGTGGTTCCCCCCTTGAAGCCCCCGCATGTCCGCTGATTTACAACAGCTCGCATTCAGTTTCTGTTTTGTAATTAAACATTATAAAAAAAACTCATTTACCGGTAAGGTAAACTGGAAAGTGAATCAAAAGAGGCATGTGTCGTATGTGTCATATGTATATCACAAGTTTACTTTTAATATATTGCTCATCTTTGATATTAATTTCCTTCTTTTACCTTTACTTTCTTTAAAAAATATCTTGTCTTATCTGATCTTGTAAACAAATTTTGATAATCAAATAAACTTGCTTTGTCATTGTGCAACTGTTACATGGCTTGGTCACTAAGTTAGAGTTTTAATCTAACTAATTAACCCAGTGCCTCCGTCCCTCCAATTAAATGCTTTTGTGAGACGAACATCTCATTTTAACATCTCACTGCCTGACTCGCCTGACTACTGGGTCCATCTGTTAAGTTTGATGACACCTATAGAGGCCCAAGAGCAGCAAACAAGAGGCTGTTGAATGAAGTCAGCTTCTTAAGCAGACTCTGTCACGGGGATGTGACGTGAACAGGAGTCACTCATTGAGGATCGAATGTCAGATGTCATTAGCATTCGATACTCAACAGCCATATACCGTACCACAGCCAAAGCCTTCTAATAACAACTGTAAAGTCAGGACTCCAGAGCCTTTATTTTTCTTTCAGTAAATATAAATATTATGATTAAATTAAAATACTATATAATGGATTAACTATGACTCACATATAGTGAGTTGTGAATGTGTTTTTTGATTTCAAACAGCAGGCAGCTACATAGTGTAAAATAGATCTCAGTGTCAGCAGTGATTTGAATAGAGAGGGATTGTCATTCCCCTCCCAAACCTTGCGTTTAATAATTTCTTAATAAGAGAAGTAATTTGGTGATATGTTATAGCATAAAAGACACACAGATACTTTTTAATTCAATAAGGAAATCTGACTAGGTCACTGGCAACATGCTTCAACAGAACCATTATATTATTGATAACCACAATGATTGTGTATAAAAACACATTTTCCCATAGTCAAAACACCTTGCAAATCTGTTTGAATTTAAATACAAGACTAAATATCTCTCAAAGATTTATCATCGTGATTGGTGTGTGCCATTGCAGGGTCATTAAAATGTGTCGTTGTGGAGGAACTGGTCTGATTGCCTGTTTGACCTTTAAAGGGTAATTGCCACTTTCAAGAAACTAATAAAGACTCTGAGCGACTTAAATGAAGCCAAACCAGTTTTACTTGAAACAATAACCCCCAAACAATAAAGACTGGGTTTTCAATAAAAAGATTGGGTGACTTATTGGAAAAAGGCTCTAAAAAGTGTACTCTGCAGTGTTTCTGTGAACTTGTTCCTTAAAACATTAAAGATTTCAATCATATAAAGCCAAACATTAATAGAGGAGACTGTACTGTTTTTATCAACAACATAGACTGATGGAGATTTTATAGTGGTTAACAGTTAAAAAGCTTTGTTCAGTTAAAATTTCCTGCTTTCACGTTTACTATCTGGTTTTGCAGTGTGATCAAAAGGGAATGGATGACTGACATAAAAAAGGCCCATAATAGTTATTCTGGATATATAGTTGAAAGGTGCCCTTTGTTTAAAGTCCAACTTTAAATAGATACATTTTAAAATACAGCTTGCTTTCAGCACCCAGACAACTGACATTTCAGAGCCAAAAAAGTTTAAAAAGTGTAAACTTTAAAAATGTAACTTTAAAACAACAAATGTAATAATATAATATTTGTCAATGTATTCATACCTCTTGCTCAAACTCACATTTTAATCTACGATCCAAAATATAGATCAATACTAAGTGGTATAAAATAGAGAAGAGAAAGGACAATGATAGATTTACAGTACAAATAAAAGTCTAAATTGTCCTGTCGAGTCAATACTTTGGAACTTTGGTTTGATATTGGTTTGGGACGGAAAATATCTGCTCAATGTCACTAAGACTGGAGAGTCTTTGACCATTAATTTCCTGTCTTTCTTAAGCTTGGCAGTTTTTCAGCTGTATTCACAATAGCGCATGGGTCACAGTTTTTCTCTTTAGAGTTTTGTGTTCAAAATGAGGTGTTAGTTTACCTCCCTACACAAAAAATGTATGTTTTAACAAAGAAGTTCCAATGTGGTCTCATCAGAGAAGATGATTTGTTGTGACCACAACATCGACTGTGGCAAACATGCCTTCTTACAATTTCCTTCCAATAATTTACTTTTTCTTTCTAATCTTGTGTCAAAGCTTAACTTTTGGTTGTTAATGTTAATGGTCTTTGCAGGTGTGTTATACTCTTTCCATTTTCTGAAAATTAAGTGTCAGAAAAGGTGGTTGAATACAAATACCCACCCCATTCTTTAATTTTTATGATCTATGATCTTGTTGGTTCTTTCCACTTTACAATTCTGTGCAAATACATTTCTGATAAAGATATATAATGAATGTTGTGGTTGTAAAAGAAAAAAATGTGAAAATATTTAAAATCTATTAATGTTTTTGCAAGTTATTGTGGCTGAATGAGAAAAAACAGGAAACATGAAAGTAAATCCTTCTATTTGAACAAAGATACTAAACAGCTTAGAAGGAATTGCAGCGTTGCATGAGCTGATTATTTTTGTGCTCGTATTCCGTTTGTTTTTTTGTGGTGTGCCTGCAGCCTGTCCATTGAGTTCCCCTTGCCCTTTTGTAGTTTATAATAAAGTGGAATAGAACAATATGCATTTGAAAATAGTAGACATACATGAATGAAAGTTTGTGGCAACCAGTCTGTTGAAAAACACAGAGTCCCTTGAGAAATAGACAAATCAGCAAATTTCGAAATATAAAAAAGCAAAG